AACCACGTGTTCACCGTAGGTAAGGTTTCTTCATGTAAGACGTTCAAATTTTTTATGCACTTATGTAAGATGGACAAATACCTTGTAAAGGCAAAATCTTCTATGATGATGCACCAAAAATATTCAATGCTTTAAAAAATAGAAGACGTTAAAAATTTATTATAATTAAAGAAATAATTTTTTTAAAGAGTTTTTGTGTTTTTTTAGTTTTTAGAAATCTCACTTAACTTTTGGAAATCTCACCCTGTTTTTGAGAAAGGGTGAGAAATTCTCACCCATTTTTTTTCTATGATGAAAACACTGATATAGTATAGTGGTACTTATTATTCATTAAGATCATCCAAAAAATATTCTCTATTTTGTTAAATTTTACAGCTCAAGAGGAATTATGCTCGGTTATGGACGATTCCTTTCTACTGAGGTTCCTTCGATGCAAAAAATATGATGTGAAAAAAGCTTTTATAACTCTCAAGAACTATTATGATTTTAAGAAGAGATATTCTGGTATCATTACTGATCTTACACCTTCAAAATTGAAAAGGGTTCTTGAAATGGACTGCATATTCATGTCTCCCATGCGTGGCCCCAATGATGAAAACGTCACTATCATTTTTGTAGGTGAGTTGAATCGTTATATAAAAAAATGGCAATTAATTAATTCTGGATGAGAGTTTATGACTTTTGAGCGAGGTTCAATCATGAAAGATGTTTAATGTTTCTTAACGCTAAACATACTATAACCGGTCAAAAGGCCGATTATTGTATGTTCTATTGCAGTGCTATATATTGTATGTTCTATTGCAGTGCTATATATTGTATGTTCGGCTATATATTGTATGTTCTATTGCAGCGTTATATATTGTATGTGCCGAATATTGTTTGTTCTATTGCTATATTTAACACGTTCACGCCGGGGTGACTCACCGGTGGGTTACGCTAGATTGTCGATCTCATCTTGGCAGCGCACCGGAGTAAAAACTGGTAACAAATAAATTTCAGTTTTTAGTTTTTTTCTGGGAATTATAAAAATCCATAACTACCAATTGTTTTTAACGGATGCAATTTTTGTATTGAAATGCTTTTTCGCCGTGATAAATTTCCCTACAGTGAATTGATACTGTTGAGAATAGATTAACTCCTCCCGAATATTATCTAATATTCATACCTGCCAACTTTTAATCCCTTCCATTCTGATATTTTCCAGTGGTATTAAAATGGAATTAAAATTTAATTTTTATGCAAGAGAATACGTTGTATTTAAAAAAGCTTAAGCTGACAACCATGATAGCAACGCATATCAATATATATGCTTAATTTTTTTAAGTATAGTGGTGATCAAAATCATTTAAAAATTAAGTTTATAATAGAAGAAAAAGTATATATTTACTACCACTTTAAATATAAAAATAAAATTTTACGCCAAATGCGTAAAAGTTGGCAGGTATGAATATTGAAATAGTTATTCTACCAGTATTTTCTCTTTTCCCGTACCAGTATTTTCACTTTTCCCGGCGTGAATGTGTTAACGATTTCGAAATTTGACGGCACACAATGAAAAAAATTAGTTTAAAAGTTGTTTTCTTACTTATAATACACTGTGTTAAATAGTTTGTGATAATAATTTTGAATGTGGAATAAAATAATATGTAGTACAAGATCACATTTATTGAGGGATTAATTATTATTTCTTTCGACTAATTTTTTATTAGTTAGTAACAGTTATTTATTTTTTTGCTAGTTATTAATTGTTAGCTTGTTTTCTATTATTATTAACTGTTAGTTTTTACAATAATTATTATTTTTTTGCGATTTCTAGTTAATTAGTTTTATTGCTAATTATTAATTGTTAGCTTATTATTTGTTAATTTGTTTTTAGAATTATAAATTGCCTTTTTTGAAGGCGGCACACTTTCAACGATTTCGAAATTTTACGGCACACAGTGAAAACAAATTAGTTTAAAAGTTGTTTACTTACCTATAATACACTGTGTTAAATAGTTTGTGATAATAATTTTGAATGTGAAATTTTGAACTACAAAAAGCACGTTTATTATGGGATTAATTATTTCTTTCGACCAATTTTTTAATAGTTAGTAACAGTTACTTATTTTTTTGCTAGTTATTAATTGTTAGCTTGTTTTCTATTGTTATTAACTGTTAGTTTTTTGCATTAATTATTATTTTTTTGTGATTTCTTGTTAATTAGTTTTATGGCTAATTATTAATTGTTAGGTCATTTTTTATTAGTTATCCTTTGTTAATTTGTTTTTAGAATTATAAATTGCATAGCTTACTTTAATGATTAGCTTTTATTTCCGTTTGAAAGTTAATATTTAGCTTGCTTTCCTTTGCTAATTAATAATTTTAATAGTCATTAAATTTCCTACTTATTTCAACATTTTTTAAAATTGTGTGTCAAAGACAATTTGAACCCAAGGTATAAAAAAAGT